CGGGGGCCGGCTACGTTTATAGATTTCTCAGTAGGTGAACGCTCGCATAGTGAGGTCGAGGGCAGTACCCATAGAGTCCAGTAGAGGGCTCCGCCTATGCTTATATACACTGAACAAAAATATAAATGCAACACTTTTGTTTTTGCTCCCATTTTTAATGAGATGAACTCAAAGATCTAAAACATTATCTATATACACAAAATAACCATTTATCTCAAATATTGTTCACAAATCTGAAAAAATCTGTGATAGTGAGCACTGCTCCTTTGCAGAGATAATCCATCCAACTAAATCCCATTAAAGCAGTGTCTTCTTCCTCGACATCATGCTTCAGCTGCTGAATGTAGAAGAAGTGATGCAGTTAGCTGTATGCTAACCCAGCCCTCAGGGAGATCCTGTTCCCAAGCTATTGGATGTTAATATGATCTTATGTGCTCTTCATGATTTATTTATTGTATAAACAGCTGTGGCACATACAGTCAGCTCATGCAGTCCCTAAAATAGTTTCTTTTTTGGGGTCAATTCAAAGAGAAGAATCTAAATCCATATTACTTTATTCTGACCTGATAGCATGCAGGGACAACTGACAGGTGGAGCAGGGCTAAGGAAGAGGAGGTGGAGAAGAAAAAAGAAAACAAAGGGACAGGGTAGATGAAAAAGAAGCAAGCTGGATAACATTGAACTGTGAACAGAGAGGAAGAGGAAGAGTTCCAAAGACCATAATCATGATCATAGTATACAACACTTTGACATAGAATGGGATAATAAACAAGACAGAGGTGATCATGACAGTTCATCTGTGTCTGTCAAAGAGAAGTGCTGTGTCCTGAAGAGTCACTATAAACATGGGGGACACGCACATAAAAACACAACAGACAGAGCTTCATGTTACTGCCTCAATGACAAAACTGCAGAGTACAGACCAGACAGCACATTGTCCTTCCAGTATTCCCACAGGATGTCTCCTGCTCACTGAGAGGCTCACAGCTCATTTTAACTGAGACAAAGACCAGTCTTTTGCAGAAGAACTGAAATGTCAGATCTTAGATCAAGAAGCATAAAAAACTGCTTGGATCTGCTTTCTGTCTGTCAACTGAAACACAAGTTTATTTTATTTCTAGTGTGAGCACCAGGTTAGGAATTTCCCTCGGTCTGGCTGGGATGCCCCGGAATAATTGTACGTCCTACGGCCACCATGGCCTTTGTGCCCCTCACACTAATACAATCTTGAAGTTGCTTTAAAGGCGTCACAACAGTGGTCTGGTCTCTGAACTGCATTATGCTGCATTCACACCGGACGCTATGCGAATATTCGCATTGCTCTAATCCAGAGGTGCCCAGTACGGGGGCAATGCTGGTAGATCGCGAGTCATTCATAAACAAATATATCCAGCTCCGTTAAAATAGACAAAACAGGTTTTGATCCCTCCTCCCTTGGCCTCCCTGCCACTTCATTCAGGAGTTTACTTGATTGACAGAAAAAGCGACCTATCGCTTTCCAGTCTGTTAACCCAGAATGCAAAGCGATACAAAATCAGTCAAGTGCCGGGAAAACTCAAATTAAGTTAAACAGACAAACAACAAAATGAGTGCGGGACCGAGCAAGAAGCTACAGACAAACCACTTCCACCCAGAATGGGAGGAAGAATATTTGTTTGTGATGTCACATTCAAAGGTTATTTGCCTTATTTGTAAAGCAAGCGTCGCTCTGCCAAAGAAAGGTAACGTGGAGAGGCATTATCGGAGTGTTCACAAGGCATATGACAGCGACTTCCCTCCGAGTAGCGAGTTGAGAAAGGTCATGTACTATTGCTACACAAACATTATCTCGCAGTCTTAGTGTCGCCAACTCGTTTCTAACATGCAAAAAGACAAACAAATGCGTCTATGGTCGGTGTATTTTCGATCTTTCCAATCCAGACGAGATCTCTCCCCCGTCTGTGTGCGAGGGGGCGGGGCAGTTTACACACACGCAGCTGCTACATGCAGCAACACACGGAGGAGATGGCGGAGAGAAGCGCTCCAAGGTGTGGTTAAATGTTACCCGTCTCGATGTGGAGAATGCTCATTGCCAAGAGTGTTTAGCATGTAAGGGCGGTAACACGAGCAATTTATATAAACATTTATCAAAAGTGCTCCACATCCAGACGGAGGAATGCACCGGGTTCGACTGTCTTTCTAGTAGCTCTGTAGCCCCATCCACGAGTAACGTTTCCACGTCAGGTGTTATGTATGCTAGCAGCAACACACAGAGTTAACTCCATGATACAAACATGGGGTAATGATCAGAGGTAACTGAGTTATTTATTTTGTTAAAGTTTCAGCTATTCTGTTTACAGTTCTGTCATCACATTATTTAATACCATTTGTTAAAACATTGTTGTTTCTTTTGATGTGAAATATTATGTATTTAATTTAAATAAAAAGCAATGTTAATTTTGTTCACAATGTGTTAAGTTAATTTAATAATATATGTATTTTTGAATCAAGTATTCATCTTTATTGTCTTCATTGTTAGTTTCCACATGCCTAAAACAACCTCAAGCTAAATATAAAAGTTGATGGCTAAATAAGAGCGTTTGAGAATTGTGCAAGGCATAATAATCCGAATAGTCGATTATTCGTTTCATTAATCGATAGATTAATCGATTATCAAATTAGTCGTTTGTTGCAGCCCTATTGTAGTTATCCCATGTATAAATAAAACGTGTTATTCAGCAACCCTTGCAATTTGGGATTTTATTTTTGGTTGGTAGACCTCGGTGAGCTGGTCATTTCAAAAGTAGCTCACCAGCCAAAAAAGTGTGGGCACCCCTGTTCAAATCGCTCCAGTTTCACCGCGGCTGTCAGCTGTGTTTACTCCTGTCATTCAAACAGGATGCGCTGGAGAGGGGGCGGGGCTTATATCCATGTAAATACTGTGGGAGAAACCAACTACAACAAAATGAACATATTTTACCGTGATTTAATTGTAATACGTTTCAAAATGATGCCGAGGTAACAACATACTGATAACGGTTAGTAAAAACCATGAATTAATGCTTTGACAAGTCTGCAGACAAGACGGCAGGCGAAAAACCTTTCAAAATGCGTTTCTCAGATCGGATCTATCATGCTAAGCTAACGTTGTATCTGCCCCGTCCACACTCAGAATAACATGATACAGACACAGATACAACAGTGACTGTATTCCCCATTACAGAGACAGTCTGTGGTTTGTACATGTTTAACTTTTGTCCAGTTTCTGAACAGATATGAGGAACTGTGAGCTCTGTGTGCTATCAGCTAACGGCTGATGTTTTGGTTTTCTGATTAACATCAGGCTGAGATCCTCACCGCTGATTGGCTACCGTGAGAACGCGTCACGCGAATTTGACGCTCGAGTTGACAAAAATGATTACACACACACACACACACACACACACACACACACACACACACACACACACACACACACACACACACACACACACACACACACACACACACACACACACACACACACACACACACCAAAGTATTGCTTGTTCATATCGTTGAATGTTTGAGCTTCACTGTGCACTGCTGAATGATTTATGTGCAGAGTTTGACCCTTGAAGGCTGTTTCTTCTGCTCCGAAATGGAATATATTTGTTACATATTAATAGATTTTTTGATTTCGGATTTGTAGTAGTAGATAGAAAACAAACCAAACACTAATTATTCAAAGTAGAGTTAGAGTATTTCATTTTATATACGGTAATATTAAGGAGGCATAGGCCTATATGATGATATAATGTTTGACATTATTGATATTAAAAAAGTGATTTGTTTTCCATCTCATTTGTGTGTTTTTCTTATCAGAAAATGAAGTTGTTTATTTGTAAGGTCCAAATCCAAATGTTTCCCTCAATGGCCTTTGTGCCCTACAAAATATGTGACACCAAAGGCCAAATGGCCTTGCCCCTAAAATGACGAAATTCCAAGCCTGATGAGCACGTCATTTAATACAGTATGTTCTACTTAACCACACTAGCATCATTTTTGCTGACAAGTCATTCACTCCACAGAGATGTGAGGAAGGACCTTCATGTTACAGGCTACTGGAAAAAAAGCCTTCACAAAGGCAGACGTTACACAATAGTCAGTACTAACCTCTATCCCAGATAGCAAACACATGTCGCTGTTTAAACATTGCAACGTTTAGTTAGAGCCGACATGTCATTCATATAGGGTCAAAAGGATTGGGATATCATTGGGCTCCAGTGATGCTAACCCATCGCTGTGTCCACCATTGAGTCGAGGTGGGCCAGAAATAAAAATCATTACTGTTTTCAATTGAATTATGAATTACACCTATGATATTAAACTATTCATACCCCAGATACAGACAGAGATACTCATTAAAGTTAAACATTTCCAAATACAATCAACATGGCAATGGGACAGACAGACAGACAGTTGCTAACACTAAATCGCAGCTCTGTGACAGGGTGACATCACACTGAGAACTACAAACATTAATCGCTAACTCAGCTGCATTACTCACAACTGTTGCACTGAGACATACATCTAAATCCGATGGAGGACTAAGAAAACACTGCTAAACATACCATAAAACTGAGACAAACTGCACCGACAAAGATATTAAGACTGAAGGATGTCACATTCTTATAACCATTTGACTGGGAAAGTTTTTATGAGTCACTTTCATTCACTTACATCTAACAAATACAGCATTCAAGGACACAAATAAGCAGCTTCTGAAATCACCACCACAACATACTGTTACGGTAAAATAATTGAGAGCTGATCTATATGTTTGTACTGCTGCACTGTGGATATATAACAGCAGTTCCAGCAGAGTGCCCTTCCCAGAGCTGCAGAGTCCAGCTTAGTTTAGAGGTAATACAACTGAGAGTGATGAGACGTGTGTAATACATTACGTTTTTTTTCATTAGACAGTGTGACCTGCTACAATCTGTAAATCATACAGCTACTCCACTGCTTCTCAAACTTACGAGTCGCGAGTCATCACGGCGTCTCAGGTGTATCCGGCACCTCTGCCTAGAAGACAATATGTTATTGGAAGTTGGACAGAATCCCAAAGTGTCCACTTTCTTCCAAGACTGACTGAGTGAGCAGCTGCGTTGCTGGCTCTATACTGGCTGGCTGGCTGGCTGGCTGGCTGGCTGGCTTTGGGACGGGGGAAGGTAACTGGCCTTTAGACAGACAGTGACAGTGATGAGGCACCCACCCCCGGCGCAAGGCCTGCTGGTGAAACCCCCTCCTCATTCTCCTGTGCAGCCGCCCACAGTCCCTATGATTACCAGAGCAATGGCTAAAAGCGGAGCAGCTGGGTGGGGGTGTGGGCGATGCAATGCTTCTATGGTTGGGGGTAATAAGGGAGGGAACTTTTCTCTGCCCTTTCCGAAAATAGATATTCTGACTTGCACATGCCATTGGCCTGGATTAAGCTGGGGATTGTTGGAGGTTTACAGATGCTGATACAGATGTAATCTGTTACCATAGAAGGGAACACACTATCCAAAACAAATGGAGACATTATGAAAGTCAGGAACATAATACTTCCACATTTTAGATCAAGCTCTAGCAGTTATGATACTTCGGTGTTACATTTAACAGGAGAACTGCAGGAACATTCAGCCAGAGGAAACACTTAATGAATATTTTCTGTAACAAAATAATCATGATGGAACTATAGGGTTATTATAGCGTGTCCATACCATTTTTATAAATACATAAGATGAAGTCAAATGTGCAATCATAGTCGGTGTAGCCACTGAGACACAGCGTCTTAGACACAGGAAGAGGCAGGACGTCCTCCACAGCACAGAGACCCTCTGAAGATTCATGATGAGGACTCAGGCTCATGATGAAGACATGGTGAGGACTCAGGCTCATGATGAAGACATGGTGAGGACTCAGGCTCATGATGAAGACATGGTGAAGACTCAGGCTCATGGTGAAGACTCAGGCTCATGATGAAGACATGGTGAAGACTCAGGCTCATGATGAAGACATGGTGAAGACTCAGGCTCATGATGAAGACATGATGAAGACTCAGGCTCATGATGAAGACATGATGAAGACTCAGGCTCATGATGAAGACATGATGAAGACTCAGGCTCATGGTGAAGACTCAGGCTCATGATGAAGACATGATGAAGACTCAGGCTCATGATGAAGACATGATGAAGACTCAGGCTCATGATGAAGACATGATGAAGACTCAGGCTCATGATGAAGACATGATGAAGACTCAGGCTCATGATGAAGACATGATGAAGACTCAGGCTCATGATGAAGACATGATGAAGACTCAGGCTCATGATGAAGACATGATAAACCACTTAGTACAATCCTTGTTCCATAAATCAAGCGCAGCCCTCCTCCTTTGTCTCTTTGGTTTACCCTGCATCTGTGTGTCCTTCTACAGATTTCAGTGAGGATAGCCTTGATCTGAACACTATGCTAGCTGGCTTAAGCGAAAGTAGCTTATCCCTGGGGAAAACAAAGCAGCAGTGATGGAGCTGCCACAACTTCAGACACAACCGGATGCGAAGCCAACAGAACTAGAGAACTTTATAAATCACATTATGCGCATTCACACCGCAGTACTTTTCCCACAAAGGTTCATGAGAACTTAGTTCATGAGAACTCTTTAGTTACTGCGGTGTGAACGCGGTTAATCGAGGAGCTTCAAATGCCTTTTCATTAAAACTAGGAACAAAAAAGCCTGTAAAATTAGCCTGCTCCCGTGTGTGATCTTTGTTGAACCCCTGAGCCAGTGGATTTTTCAGAATATCACGGGAAGAGCAATGAATGGAGGTGAAGAAAATATTTCATTTTTTGCTGATGATTTATTGGTGTATTTATCCAACACAGAAGAATCTCACTCTCGCACAGTTATTTCACTCGTAAATAAGGATGCTTCTCTGAATGTAAGCTGAATGTTTTAAAAACACAAGTTTTAATGCTCCACAATAAATATAAATAAATGTTTGGAGGCCAAATCCATGAGATACTTCATAAAGTAAATACTCGTACAAATTTGACTAAATTGCCATCGCCTTGTTCCCTGCCCATAAACTAAAAGATTATAACAAGGACATGAGGAGATGGGACCCATTCTTTTCTTAATTGTGGTTCTCGCATAGTCCCTTCCTAAATACATACAGTATCTTGAGGTAAATTTGGCAAGGACAAAGACCAAAAATCAAATACCAGAGTTGGGCAAAAAAACAAGGGTGGTTTTGCACTCCCATGTTTAAATGTTAGTATATTGATGCTCAATTAAGGCCGTGTCATGGCTCTACCCCTCGAGCCATCTCCCTTGTGTTTGTTTGTTTTCTCTTCCACATCCATGCTCCATACTCCCCAACAGTTGTGTATTTTCAAATTCTAGCGCACTCGAGCTGGTTTCTCCAAAATTACCTACCCCACCTTTAAGTACACTTCTTATGTAAATGTCCTTCGTTACTTTCCACCATTGCTGCAAAATCACCTTTTCTGCAATGTCAGAGGTTTATCCTTTAAATAAACTTGTGAATTTAAGGTTGTGGTTTATCCTTATGGTTTCGCTTAAATAGTTATAAACATCTATAATTTCTTAACATCATGTTAATCTGAAGATGATGGATGGTTGCTTATTTCATTTTTCTTCCAAGAATATGTGGCTATGCCATTTAAAAAAATAACCTACATTATACTGCTGTGTCCGGTAAAGCTTATGACGGATGTATTTTGAAATACACACATACCTTTAAAGGTCAACTATTATGCAAAATGTACTTTTTGAAGTATTTTATACATAAATGTGTGTCCCCGGAGTAATATGTGTAAGGAGACTCACAAAATGTTAGAAAATACAACCCTCTCTCTTTTCCTCCTTACCCTCTAAAAACGGGGATACAACGGAGCTGATCCAGATTTGCTGCGGTCATGACAACATTACTAAAATGTGGGCTGGCTTTACGTTGAACTCCTGGCAACGTCTTGCCCTCCCAACCGTCCCCTATCAGAAACGTTGCTGTATCAGAAACAATGCGTGACGTGTTTTGGAAGTAATACGGTCTGTGTTTACATTAGCAAGCATTGCTAACACCCAGAGCTAACGCTGTACTGGAGAGAATATGTGTGAAGAAGCAGGATATAAAAAGGTACTGTCCTTGAGGTAAACCCGCGAGAGAGAAAGCGTTTGAGCTCCATACTGTTTCAGAAATAATCCTTGATGTGGTTTGGAACATAATAGGGCGTTTAATCATGGCAGCGTTTAACTGAGTTTCTGCTGGCAGACAGCCTTCTCTTCACAGAGCTCACTGCTTGCATGCTGCTCCAAGGGGGCGTGGCCAGCAGCAGCTCAGATAAGGGCCAGACCCAGAATCAGCACTTTAGTAACAGAGTTGAAATAGAGCAGTGGTTGCCAACCAGTCGATCGCGAGTGTGGTGCGGGTAGATCGGACCGTTAAAAAAAAAAGTAACAAAAGAAAGAAAAAGAAAATAATAATGTTTGAAAAATACGTTTTTAGATGTAAACCTATCATCCACCACCCCGTTAGCAGGTGCCACTTGATTGACGTATATTTGAGACACCTCAATAATATAATACATTAACCGTGCTTTACGTGAACCTCATCATGACACAAGAGAGGACGGCAGGAATGCAGTTTCCCGTGTTCAGTGAATGCAACAGAGGCAAGTCACCAGACCAATCAGAGAGTTGCATGGAAATACACGTGTACTTGTCATTCAAGCTCGGCTCTGTGTGTGTGTGTGTGGCAATAGCGCATTTAGTGTGATAGAGGGAGAGTGAGAGGGAGAGAGGGAGAGAGAGGGACTGGTGCTAGCGGGGACCGTGATGTTAGCATCTGGTTAGCTAGCTGCACTAACGGACATAAGGAGCTGTTTCCACAACAAGCTGGAGGAGAGTCCTCCCCTGTCAGACTGAGGGGCTCAGGTGAGCTAAAGGACTCTCTGAGTGTTTAGAACGATTTTGTCACAAATTATTCAAAAGATTATTTCCGCGGCACACCTTCATATGATCATTACAGTTATACAAACAATAAGAGAATAAATGAAAAACAGGTATGAAATACTATATGGCAGTAAAACAAGAATACAGTTTAAAAGGGGAGTGATTTGTAAAATATCCATAAAGAAAAAGAAAATCTGTTTACAGTTGTGTTTCATCTGGGTGTTGAAAGATGTATCCATAGATCTCTTCATGTTGCTCTCAAAGTGCACCAGATTGATGCTTTCAACCTCAATATTTAAAAAAAAATCTTCACGGGGGAGCAGACCCCGGACCCCCTTAGAGGAGGTGAGGACCCCCCCTAGAGGAGGTGAGGTCCGCCCCCACTCGTAAAAAATAGCACTTTACCCCTGCCTGCGTGTGTGCTTGCACCACTTCTCTTTAACATCTACACCAACGACCAACCAAAAAGTGTAGACACCCGTCGCTTCATCTATGCAGACGATCTTAGGTGCACAAGCCACTGATTTCAAAACTGTGGAAGACAGACTCTCTAACGCTCTGGCAGAGCTAACACCTTACTATGAAGAGAACCACCTACGTGCAAACCCATCTAAGACACAGGTGTGTGCCTTCCACCTGAGAAACCGTGAAGCCAAGCGCCAACTGAAGGTCAGCTGGTCAGGAACCTCCCTTGAACACTGTGAGCACCCAGTCTACCTAGGGGTAACCCTGGACAGATGCCTCTCTTTTAAGACCCACACTGAGAAGACTAAGTGCAAAGTGAGTGCGAGGAATAACATCATCCGCAAGCTCACCGGCACGACCTGGAAACCCACAGACTCTGAAGTCAACCGCACTAGCCCTCTGCTACTCAGCTGCCGAGTATGCCTGCCCAGTATGGGAATGAGCTGCCCATGCCAAGAAGCTGGATCCCGCCCTCAATGCTAGCTGCCGCATTATCACAGGCTGCCTGAAATCAACACCTACAGACCGTCTGTACATCCTGGCAGGCATAGCCCCACCAGAGATACGACGAAATGCAGCAAGCAAGAAAGAGCGCCAACAACAGTCTACTGACCAAAGACATCCTCTCTTTGGCCATGTGCCAGCCAAAAGCCGCCTTAAATCCAGGGAAAGTTTCCTGTAGAGCGTCCCACCCCTCGGAACACCGAGCATAAGCAGTGAAAGAATCACTCGGTGGGAAGAAAGACTTGACAACCTCCCATCAGCAACAACAATAATAATAATGCATTACATTTTTTATTAGAACGCTTTTACAGGTGCTCAAAGCGCTTTACAAGTACACATTACACATATTAGACATGTAAGAGTCATTACTGCGGACATTACCCACAGGAGCAAATGTGGGT